AATTCATGAAAGTTTAAAAGCTTTAAAAAAAAAAAAAAAAAGGGACATTAATTTCTTGATGACCTAATATTACATATTTATTTCTAAGTGAAGAAATGCATTAAAACTAAACAGTTTTGGTGTCATAAGAATAACTATCCACCACTTTTAAAAAGAGTTATAGTACCATTTGCAAAGTATATGTTGTTAAAGTATTTTTTCTTTTCTTTTTTTGGGGCAATCTATTATTCATCATCCAACCTTTAAAAATGTCCACTATTGCATTTATCTACAAATGAGATGAGATTACAATGCTATGCCTCTTAATATAAGTCTTATGCATCTATTTTTGTGTAAATACTACCTTTTTTTTCTTTTTTTTTTTAAAGCTTATAAACTTTCATGAATTATTATAATTTTTTTGTAGGAATGACTGTGTCATAAAAGAGAATAGAAAAATTACATCAATATAAAGAATATAATTTCCATATTATTAATATTACATGTTAAGGATATGACCTACTGCTATCATGGAGTAGAATAGGTTTGTGTAAAATCAGCAAAAAAATAAAATCAATGTATGCATTGTCAAATAGCTGGAATAAATTTAAATTCTACTTTTCATTGCACATACAGTTATTATGTAGTTTTATGAAAACAATCTAAAACATGCTACTTATCAAAATTCTAGGCCATTTCAAATATTTGACCTGTTATGTTTTTTAAAGAGTTAGATGGACATGTATAACATGGATAATGATGTAATGAAACTAGTGTTTGTTTTCATGTAATTCTAATTGACAATATAATGTATAGTCATGTATGTGTGAATGAAGAAAAATTATTTTAATGAGTGGGCTATTTTATTTTTTCTTACTGAACTTTAGTAATGGTTAACAATTCAATCTAATGGTCTAAACTGGAGGTTCTCAAACTTTCCAGGTTCACATACAACTTTTGTCTAAATGTTTTTCAAGTTAAAACCCAGGACTAGGAAAAAAAAAACTGGTAATGAAAATGTTTTCAACACACACCCGTTAATGGGAAGGATGTGATTATTTTTTCTGGCACAACTGAAGAATATGTGACATGACTTTTGTCAGTTTGAAAGTACGAAAACACTGGCGAGTCTATACAAGCAGAGGATAAGTCTAGAAGTGAGGATAATAGTGTGCATATGTAAATGAGAGATTCAAATTGGGCTTATTACAGATTTTATAGCTTTGTCATGTACTACTAATATTACCTCCACATACTACTAGTGGTGCACAAGTACCACATTTTGAGAACTACTGGTTTAACTTGTATAAATATTGATAGATAAGGAAGGATATAGTTATTGTAAGGACTTGCAAATGATTGATCAAAATTACTTTTCACTTGATGTATATATGCTAAAAGTGTTGATTGGTTGACAGTAAACATCTTTATAGGGACGTCTGAATTATTCTTGTATAAGAAATAATGTGAACTCTTATAAGTAGAAGTATAGTGACAGGATGATGGTGAAACATTTTTCCAGTGAGGGGTTGGGTATGGCCTAGTGATTAGTATATGGGGTTGTGGATCAGAACATCTAAGGTTTTTGTAAGCAACATACCATCAAACTCTCTTTGCACTTTCAGCTATAGGTGAATTATAAAAGTGACATTCTAGTGAAAGTGGTGCTTACCCTTCCTATCATAAGCACTTTTAAATTATGGACAACTGCCTGAACCTTGGATGTTTTGCCTATGTGTGTTCAAGATGTCAATTTTTTCCACTTAATAAAAAGAAAAAAGGTTAAGAGAGAAAGGAAAACAGCAGAGGAATTTATCATGCATTAATGCTCTTTCCAGCTAAATGAAAAGTGAATCTCTATCAGGTGATAAGATTTCCAACTGTTTTATTTTCTTGTATTGTGAAAAGAGAATTATAAATTGTTTTGAAATATCGTCTCTTGACAGAAAACTAAACATTAAATGAATTTTTACACATGCCCTTATGCTTCAGAGTCTTGTAAACTTTCAACTTAAATTCTAGATAAAGTGAAATGACTTAGTATTTTGAACTCTAATCTACATTCTGAATGAACTAAGGATTCGTGGACAAGAACACAACGTTGTTCCAGGAAGATGGGGCACCGTGTCACACTGCTAGAAACACCCAAAAGTGGCAGGAAGAAAATGGTATCCAGAAGTTTCCCTGGCCGATCCAATCTCCTGACATGAACCCCATCGAAAACCTTGGGCCCATACTCGACCGGCAAGTCAAGAAACAACCAAAAAAACCAACTTCGAAGAGCGATCTACTCCAAGTTTTGAAGCAAGAGTGGGCAAAAATCCCACAATCTAAAGTTGACGAGATGATTCTCACGATGCCCCAAAGGATCAACGAACTCCACGAAGCGAAAGGAAGATCTACTAGATATTAATTAAATTATAAATATATCAATTCATGTGAATATGACTGAAAAATTTCATTTTTTCTGAAAAGGTGGTGTCTATTTACTTGTGACCACGCTGTGTAAATATATGATTGGAGGTTTTACTAATTATACATCATAAGTTACTTATTATAAAAATTGGATTATTCATAACTATGTATCCTACTGAGATCAATACATATATTCAAGATGTAGAGGTTTCTAGAATTGCTCATATTACCTAATATACACATAATCCATGTTATATGTTACTTTATCAATAATGCCTTAAGGTACTATTAATGTCATTTACTATGAGTAATATATTGCACATGTAACTCGTTATACCAGTGCTACTGTCATCCACTAATAATAATATATTGTACATATGATTTTCTGATAGTACTGCTGTCATATATTATGGATAATATATTCTACAAGTGTTCCTCTGGTAGCATTGCTGTCATCTACTATGGATGATATATTGTATATGTGGCACTCTCTGGTAGGGTTGCTGTCATCTACTATGGATGATATATTGTATATGTGGCACTCTCTGGTAGGGTTGCTGTCATCTACTATGGATGATATATTGTATATGTGGCACTCTCTGGTAGGGTTGCTGTCATCTACTATGGATAATATATTATACATGT